CGACCCAAGGCAACGCCAAATTAAGGCACACTTGGTGTCGATATAGAGATCGGACACAATAGAGGGCTGACTCGTGGAATGGTGGGCACGAGGGCTACCATCCTTAAGAGGATGGTAGCCCTCGCGCCTTGTAAGGATGGTAGCCCTCGTAGAATGGTCCTCAGACTTGAGACACTAAGGATGTCCTGTATGAGTACTCTATTCTTTGATTTTGGACTTATAGTACAGTCGGTCATTGGGAGTGGCAGCCAACCTTACGAGGGCTATTGAATGTCAATAGAGTATCATCCGCTCTCGGTATCATGAGAAGAATATCCTGTGTGTTCTTGCTCAGACAAATCCTTAGCTAAGGTTATTCGGATTGAGAGAGAAAGAGTTCTTTTGAAGAATCCGATTAGAGCGAGACTCGAGGAGAAACCGTATGGGCCTGATAGCACCATGCCCGGTATACGGTCTCTGGGATATTATATGGATGAGGGACTATAGGTACACGGTAACTGAGGACAGATAGGTCCAAAGGATTGGATTCCCATGTATTGTCTGGGGACTACGATGTAGTCGCCTAGTACATTCGCAGTCGATGAGTCGAGTGAATTATTATGAAGATAATAATTCACTGAGCCAGAAGGAGTTCTATTAGGTATGACTCACAGACAGCTCGATATTGAGCTCACAGAGTCACATACATATGGTAGGCGTTGCGACGAGTAAAGGTTCGGATATGAGATATCCGTCGAAGCTCTTGCCTTATTGGATATCCAATAAGCCCATAAATTATTGGATCTCATGAATAAGATCCAATAAGAGCTAATAAGAGATCATTGGGTAGAGACCCACTAATCTTAGAGGCTTAGGTAATTGGATGGAGATCCAATACCCAATAGGACAAGATCCATTAGGGTTAAGTTAATTGGGGGCCTCTATAAATAGGAGGGAACCAAAGGCCCATAGGCTAGGGCTTCTTAGTTGTCATCTCCTATTCTCCTCTCCCTTCTCCTCCTTAGATAGCAAGTATGGAGATTTGGGCAACGATTTGAGAAGCGTCGTCACAGCCTTGCTGTGTGGATCACCGCTAGAGAGGAGGGTACTTGAACTCTTTCATCCAATCTCACAGTTCTGTAGGAATTCAGAGATATACGATCTCCCTTGGTAAAACACTATCTCATATGTGGATTTAAGTTTTGCGGGTTTTTGCGCACCAATCTTCGTATGACGATGAACACCTCTTTGGGAAATTTTGGGTTTTTGTTTTCTGTTCTTCTGCTGCGCATGTGATGTCGCCCCTAGATTTCTCAACAGAAGGCAGCCAGTACACGTGCCCGTTTTAAGGAAACAAGCATTGAGGTGTAGAGAAATGAGTCGCTTAGAGGAGCGGGCATCCAAGATTGGTATTCAGAGAAATGACCAACCCTTCACGCGAGAGGCACCCAAGGACAAGCAAGCTAGGAAGAACGTATAGTGCATAAAGGTTAGGATGACTGAGTTTGAGTTACGACTCAACATTGGCAACCAAACTTGACGGTGATCAAGGCAAGCTAGGCACTTGGTAAAAGGTGAGATTATGCAAGGTGGGATGGGTTGCGTAGCAACCGAAAGAATTATGCAAAGCTCACAGAGGTAAGGGGAATTGCTAACTCGAAGAATTCGATACTCATGCAAGGGCTTGTATGCGGATGATAGAATGTCCGTAGCCATCCCAAGGCAATCGAAACTCAGCGCCATGGAGCATTGAAACTTTCTTTTCGACGTGGAAAGGGTACGTCCGTACGAGGCTGAAGTTTGTAGCAAATTTAACATGTTGTTAAGCCTTGATGGGTGCAGCGAGGGCTGTATTGGCTCACAATCGAATCTAGCAAGTGCGTTCGTGGGGCCAGAATAATGCACAGTTTGTTCAGCAAGGCGGAGTAGTATAAGGGGATAGTGGTCTCCACAACTTCTAAAGGGAAGGATGCGAAGAAAAAAGTTGCTCTAACGGGATAGATATCCAGGAGAGATAAGTCCCAGTTCTCTAGAGGGAGAATCATTTGTAACGGACCGCACATGTTGAGAGGGTACCTTAAGACAATAACTCCACATAACTCAATGGACCGAGCGAGTAGCGAAGAGTTGTCACATGATCTCGCATGAGGTAATGCGTTGGTGATCAAGTGGGGGAGCGACCTAAGGCAACGCTAAATTAAGGCACACTTGGTGTCGATATAGAGATCAGACTCAACAGAGGGCTGACTCGTGGAATGGTGGGCGCGAGGGCTACCATCAACTCAATGTAAATCGAGGGGCGGAGCAACTTGGGTGGAATTTGGTGAAGTGCTCAAGTCGTATAAAGGGAGTCGACATAGAAGATAAAACATGGAGCGGAGGCACGAAGCTTTCCTTGGATAAAAGTCAACGACATGAACTCTTACAGATGCAAGAGCGGGATCATGTCGTTCCACAGGTCCTTCATTCTGATGGAGCGGACTCATCCTACATGGTGCCAAAGATGAAGGGAGCTTCGAGGCATATGCACCTTATCTCGGTGAAGCATTTGATGAAGGAAATAAGGTGATTCAACTTGTAGAGGTGAAGTTGGGGTCAGAAGGCCTTGGCACAAGGCAAGAGGACACGAAGGTGGGTACTCTTGAAGAATATGCCATAGTGCTACCATTCGAGTTGTACGAAGGAAGCGGTGCACAATAAAGATTGTGCTGGGGGGGTAGAGGCCTAGGATCCAGATAATGAGGCACCAATTTTAGCGAAGTCGGTGGACTTCGGGAGTTGTTAGACGACGGACTATCTTAGAGCTATACTTCGTTCGGGTGTGACCCGAGAGCGAGTGGACGAAGGTCAATTGTCAAAGGAGCAAATATAATCGAAAGTGGTAGAGGCCCTGCGATGTGTTGGTAGAGGCCACACATGGAGACATCGTAGTTCGAGTTCATCCCATAAAGATCAAAATGCAATGGAGATGTCACCAAGAGGGCGACATGGTGCAGCGGATCATGGTGGAACAGTTCGAGGCAATGCGACACACACGAGACTAGTTTCGCGAGGGATTGGGTTATACAGAGGTATGATGGGGAGCTACTAGGAGTTTCACTTTGATGAACAACACGACAACAAGAATGACTATGGATTCAAGGAGTGAATGTCATGGTACCGTAGAGGTGGGCCTTCTATGCGTGCATCAGATGAAAGCCTTTGTTATCAACATATAGGGTTGTGTACCACCGAGGGAGAATTCCGAGTGCAAGTACTAGTGAGTCCCATGGGGGGGACTTGATCATATAGAGGCATGATCGGAGCGGCTGGAGAGTTGGACTGCTCTAGAGTTTATATTCGCTTAAGGGAGCTCGGTAAGTCAAAGGACAAGGCCGAGTAAGCGAATGTTGCTACCAATGAAGCTAAGGAGAATAAAATCGACGTGAGCCCTACAACATGATGGCGAAGGCCATGCATGGGAGTTGTAATTCTGTCTTTCCATCGACCAAGGGGAATTGCTTAGAGAACACAAAGGTATTGAAGCAAGTGGTCAAAAGGGGCGAGGAAGCACGATAAGTTTAGAGGGACTCAGCTACCCAAAACCAAGAGTCTGTTAGAATTGAGGTGGACCCGGAGAAGTGTTATAGTGCCATATAGGCAGATCTACCAATCACGAAGAAAGGGACGCAGATGCGAGGTAACAGATAGTATTGCCATGGGCATGGCAGTGCCATGGTACCAAGAGGCAGGGCTTCCGTGGAGTCATCAATCCCTTGCTCTCATGGAGGGAGAGCGTTGGTCGTAAAAGGGGCAGAGGAGGTGGAGAATGCAGAGATAAACTCCAAGTATTGAGACAAGGCTAAAGGGTAGAGGCCAAGGAACTTTGTAAGACTAGTGTCAATGAGCTTCTCATCAAGATAGCTGAAAGTGAAGGACTTCAGGTTGATGCAAGGAGTGTTATACCTTTTCTACTCAAAGGAGTAGGTGATAGAAATGATGGAGAAGATGGTACAATCCCAAAGACGACCAAAACTATTAGAGACTTGCTCTAAGTCGAGATGAAATTTTACTATTTATTCGGGTAAAACTTTTTACATTCCAGAAGTTCGATGGCAATGAGAAGGTGAATCGCAATAGCTAACTCAACGCAAGGAGTACAAAGACTTTGAGTGCTTCAGAAGTGTGAGCAAAGAGCAGGTGAAGGCTAGTAACCAGCTCGATGCATGGAGTACAACTCTCGAGGAGGCAGGCGAAGTCGAATAACCTTTGCCTTCTCAACCCTTAAGAAATTACACAAAACCGAGTACCCCAATTCTCTTATTTATCCAGCAGAGGAGCTCTGCATAGGTTCAAAGACTCCTCGAAGAAACTTAGCAGAAGACAATAGTTGTTGAATCCTCATCAATGGTGATCGCTGCTAGTGAGAGTTGACCGTCCGCTTCATTTCCCAACATAATGCCAATCAAAAGCGGAAGTGATGTGAACCTACTTGAAAGAGACAACTAAGTGGAAGAGAAATCGATGGGCAAATTTTGTAAAAGAAAGACCTCAAAAACTTTAAAGTCTGCAAGACGATGTTCGTTAAAGCTCCAATAGACATCCACTCAATTCAAGCGGCGTGAGACGTTTGAAAGACTAGCGCATAACAAGGAGAGCAGTTGGTAGCCAAGAAGCGCGTTGCAACTGGAATAGAAGATTGAGGACTTAGCAAAGGCGAGGAGATGCAACGTCTACAAAGGCTTTGATGAGGACGTTAAAGGAATATGTGGGGGAGAATATCACGGACAAAGCTGTAAACGGGGTGTTTGATGTAATGTTCATGTATGGCTGTGTCTTTCGGTTTTGTTTATACTTTGCATAGCATAGTTCAGGTAACAAAAAGGACTATTTGATTAATTTGTGGATCTTGCAGTTTTATTTGTTTAAACTCAGATTTTTTTTTTTTTGTTTTATTGATATATATTGATAGGGAATGAAGCTTTTGAATTCTATACAAATGGCAATGATGATTTTGACACTATTTCTTTCTGCATCTGGAGGGGCGTGATGCTGTTAATGGTATTCTGACAGTTCTCAAGATTTTCGGTGGAGTTCTTCTGGCCATACTTGTCAGAAAAGCTTTAGGAGTTTGACATATACAGTAGATAATGAAACTGATATTCTCTGCTCCGCACGAATTTACCTGTGAAAGGTATACAAGTCTTGGGTTGTAGGCATGAAAGGTATGTGAAAGGCATGAAAAGCTTTAGCTCTTGGGTTGTAGGCATCCTTTCCTTTAAAGTTGGAAGAAGTCGAGCATGTAAGTCTCCTGAGTTCCGATGGTCTGGAATAATTTTTACATTTTTTTATCCTCTGCTTACTTGATAAAAAGGTGCAAACTAGTCTTGAATGCATGTTGCATATAAATACATAATACTTTTTATGCAAAGAATTAAATATTTGAGGGAGCAAAATATTGTTCCTTTTATGTTGGGGCATTAATATTTATGAAATTTAAAGTCTTTTTAAATCTTGAGTGGGTTTTGTTTTTGTGCTTATAATTGTTTTGTTTTTAGCGATTTAGCATTATTTAAATAATAGTCTTATGTTACATGAAGTGCAATTTATTTAAAAGGAAGATCATCTACTTTATATAGTTGCTCCATGTTTAAGAAATGCTGAAACTGAATGATGTACTTTGTGAAAGTAGGTCTTTGGTACACCCTATAGGTGGAAACTCCAATGCGGTACAATTTAGTTCAGCTCTCGTTTCTTTCCTAACAACAAGTCACTATTATATTGCTACCTATAATTTTTATTTTGATTTTTGCCTGTGCTGTCTCTTGTTCCAAGTTATAGTTACATGGAGCCATAGTTTTTTAGTTAGTAACATGGTACCATATAACCTTGTTCGACGTGTGAGCAGGCGGCGGCGGAGGAGAAATTCAAGCCCTGCAGTGCAGCATACAAGACATTATGTGATGATTTAGCTATGGGCGAATGTAGATTTAGATCAAGACAACAGAGTTGGTTCATCAGTGTATCAACGAGTACAAAAAGCTTTCCACAATTCATCAGTTCTTGTAATATATGGAGCATCAAATTCATATCGAAGTGATCCAAAGTGCAACCGTTATAACTTTTCAGTTTCTCATCATCTTTCTGTCCAGGTTTGAGCATTGTTTTCTCACAAGGCATCGAACACCATCCTGGGAATGGGGGAGTATATAAAGGATCTTCCAAACTTATGAAATGTAAAGTGTTTATGTAGATGGTTTTGGGGGTACTTGTACTCAGCAACTACTGATTGAAACTATTTTATTTGGAGTATTAAGTGTTTATTAAGCCAAGTAACTTGGATCAGGAAATTGTATTTATGGCTAAATCATGGCTTGTGTCATCTCTCTCGACCAATGTCAACTTTGAACATTGTTTTGGTCATACAAGAAGAAATTTGCCAAACCATTCATATTCTCATCAATCATGATTTGCACAAGGCTTTGACTAATGCAGAATTTGAGGGGATGCCAATGTAGACAATCTTATCACTTTTTCCATAATTGGACACTACATTGATGATCACCCAGGAATAATCTTTAGATAAAGATGTTGTGGCCAGGATGAATCACATGGATGGGGTATGTCTGTCTGTATCCATTTACCCTGTGCACATCTTCCCTTGCAACTTGCACTAAAGTTGAAGAGAACAGTGTGTCTTACATACACGCACAAGACTCGCATGAATGTCCGAATGATCCCTCTCTCTCTTTCCTGTTTGTTGCTTGAAGAAGCCGAAAGAAGTCCATCAATACTTCAACCAGCGCGTGCATAGGGCTTTTTCAATGCTATCTTTGGGTGGAGATTTCGTCCTGAATCCGAACAAAGGTGAACGATGTTCTTTAGAATTCTTTTCTTTTGGCTTTCATAATCAGATCTAGCGAGTAACCTCGTCCTCCCTCAAAACACATGCCCTTGTGCAGAGAGAGAGAGAGAGAGAGAGAGAGAGAGAGAGAGAGGGGCTCTCAAATTCAGTAGGTCAAAAGAACTTCACTATCCTTGCAAAAATTTAGATATCTTTAAAAACAAATACAAAGCTAAGGTTTTTCTTTTGGCCAAGAAACTGGAAGAGCGTGAATTAGCTGTATAGTTGTAAGGAAAACAAAGAAAACCATAGTTTTACAACCATTTCTGTTGGCTGCTCAGTTATGAGACCAACCACTGCAGCAAAAGTTGACTTGTGCTGTATGAACTCACTAATGTCTATAATTAAGGCATGTATTTCTCACTATTTATTAGGTTTGAAATTTTATTTTTAATTATTTGTTTGGTATCAATGTCTCTTTTTCCCATATTATTTTGATGATTAGCGTTAATGTAATACCCCATATACAACTTTATAGATCTTAATATTATTATAGGATTTTTATGAAAATATATTTATAAAAAATAGAATAAAACAATTTTCTTTGTCAATCATCCAAAGCATATACAATCATCCATCTATCATCTTATCTTCGTCTTGAAAATATATGAATTAATACCTAAAATTTTTATAACCATCCATGATTTGATAATCATATGTCATAATTAAGATTTTTTAAAGAAATTTATATTAGATTTTAGATGACGTAGTAAGAATAAAAATATTTATAATATCTCGATATGATTTTTTTAGTATAATCTAGATCGAGAGAGAATAAATAAAATAAAAATAAAAATAAAAATAAAAGAAAGGGATAATAAGAAGGACATAGATATTATAAAATTTAATTTAGGTGATGTTAATCATATTTATATTTTAAAATTTTATGTTTATAGATGATTATTAACTGATACTCCTTATGTTATTTAGGAAAGGATGAAGGATCTTTGGTCTTTGTGTGTGTTGATCTTAATATTCTACCGTCAAGGTAAGCATTCCAACCACTTGGTTTGACATGTTTTGAAAGTAATGATTTTTTTATTGGTCTATAAAATAATTTTGTTACTCAAAAAGTTTGGAAAAATATTGTTATGTATGCTTGCAACAATTGAAAAAGTATATTTCTATCTTTGTCTTGCGAATATTATTTGAAGTAATTCTTATTTGTCTACAAATTATTTTATGGTTTAAAATTTTAAAGTTAATTCTGAAAAATATTATATGATTCCGTGAAATATTTTGTAAAGAATTGCTTTGACATATAAATACATGACCTCAGTTGTTTATTTAGTATGTTTATGATCTGAACCCTAAACATTAGTATTTTTTGTTTAAAAACTACTTTTTTTCTAAGCCCTAACAGAGTAATATAAATAAGTGTGTATTTATGGTATCAAACATAATTTTGGGCCTTATCACTAGTGATAGCATAGCCACAGTCGTCATTGCTAAAACATCATTGCTTTAAAAAAATTATGTTCCAAATATGTTGCTTTGAAAAAAATATTTAAAATACTGATTGAAAAATGATTTATAAGTTTTTACAAGAAGATTTTTTTTCTTATATCAGTTTTGTTACTATGTGAGTTGTCTATACTTATTGAGCGATTGTTTGTCCATACCCCCCCCCCCCCCCTATTTCTCAAAATTTTCATATATGGATATACTTGGAAGAGTTATTGAAGTGTTTTAAATCTTCTTAGTTCTAATATTATTGTTATATGAATATGGATATATAAATCTTGTAAGCATAAAAACAATGGATCTAAAGATTGCGATGCACACCTTTTGATGCTGTTTAGAAAACCTTTTCTCTGATCTACAAGCGCACTATCGTCGGATTTGAGATATGTAGAAATATCGATCTGCAAGGAGAACTAGACTCATCTTCTCCTCTCTTTCTATCTTTTCACATGACCATTATGATCGATAGATTTAGAGATAAAAAAAGAATATGAGAGAAAAATATGTAATCACTCATTGACTGATTCACGTAACTAGGGGAGATGAGAGAATATTTGTAATCTCTTGATCATGTCACGTATTCATACATTCGTATACCCGTGTATTCGTATATCCGCTTATGTAATTATTGTGTATTATTGTGAGTCCTAAGAGATTCTATCTATTTATAGGTAAAAACAAACGGTATAGGATAAGTAATTAGGAGAATTCATTCCGATCATCTTATAAGGAATTCTATTATAATTAAACTTTCTTTCTGTTGATCGATAATCATAATTAGAATATAATTATAATTAGAATATAATTATATTCATAATATATGTTATTATGAATATATAATATGAGTGATAGAGTTTTATTCAAGTATGTAAATTTAAGATGGTAAGTGATTTGTAGAGGTCATAGTCTTGCTTTTCTCGTAAGAAAATTTATGGGATTGTACTACTTATTGCTTTCTGCAAGGCTGGGAGCATTACAATTTAATTATATTAGGATATCATCCATTAAAAATAGGGTTATGTTGATATTATGTTTTTCATGCAATGATTTGAATTTATATCTCAAACCCATGAATAGTTGGACTTCTCCTTTTTTTGTTGATGACAAAGGGGGAGAAGTATATTGATGTTATGCATAATTTGATCATGACATGTTGCTTGGATTTTTGAATCCAAGAGTTTCTATTAATATAGCATATTGATAGGGGGAGTTTGTTTAAACTTCGGGAATTTGGTTAACTCCGTCATCGATTGGTTGTCATCATCAAAAAGGGGAAGATTGTTAAATCTCAGATTTTGATAATGAAACCAATCGATATGTATTTATGTTTTAATCTGCGTTTTAAGTGACGCAGGATGCTTTGATCAGGATGAGATGATTAAAGTAGGAAAAATCATGTTGTGCCAGAGGAAAACATGTCAAAAAGTTGGACAAGTCAGAGCCCATAACATGATGCTACCAGAGCCCATATTCGCTTAAGGGAGCCCGACAAGTCAGAGGACAAGGTCGAGTAAACGAACGTTGCTACCAAGGAAGCTAAGGAGAACAGAATCGGTGCAAACCCTATAACATGATGGCAAAGGCCATGCGTGGGAGTTGTAAGTCTGTCTTTCCATCAACTAAGGGGAACTGCTTGGAGAACATAGAGGTGTTGAAGTAGGGGGTTCGAAAGGGGCGAGGAAGCGATGACAAGTCTGGAGGGACTTAGCTACCCAAAACAAAACATCGGTTAGAATGGTGGTGGACTCAAAGGAGTGCCATAGAGGCATGTCTACCGATCGTGAAGTAAAGGGATGTAGATGCGAGGTGACGGATAGTAGAGCCATGGGCATGGCAGTGCTATGGTACCGCAAAGGCGAGATTTTCATGAAGTCATCAATCCCTTACTCTCATGGAGGGAGAGCGCTTGGTCATGAAAGGGGCCGAGGAGGTAGAGCATGCAGAGGCAAACTTTAAGTACTAGGACAAGGTTGAAGGGCAGAGGCTAAAGAACTTCGTAAGACCGGTGTCAACGAGCTTCTCATCAAGATAGCCGAAAGTGAAGGACTTCGGGTCATGTAAAAGTGCACGACCAAGGAACGAAGCAAGCAGTACGCGGTGCTATACCTTTGCTACTTAGTGGAGTAGGCAACAAGATTGATGGAGAAGATGGTATAATCCTATAGGCGACCCAAACTATTAGTGACTTACTCCAAGTTGGGGTGAAAACTTCCTGTATTCTAGAAGTTCGATGGCATTGAGAAGGTGAATCATAGTAGCTAACTCAACGTAAGGAGTACAAACACTTCAAGTGCTTTAGAAGTGTGAGCAAAGAGTAGGCGAAGGCTTGTAACTAGCTTAATGCATGGAGTACAACCCTCGAGGAGGCGGGCAAAGTCAAGTAACCTTTGCTTTCTCAACTCTTAAGCGAATGGGTAAACCGAGTACCCCAATTCTCTTATCTATCCAGCAAAGGAGCTTTGCATAGGTTCAAAGACCCTTCGAAGATAATGGAAGACAATAGTTGTCAAATCCTTACCAATGTTGATCAGTGCAACTGAGAGTAGATTATCTATTTCATTTTCTAATAGAATGCTAATCGAAAGTAGAAATAATATGAATCTACTTAGAAGTGACAACTAAGTAAAAGAAGAGTCGATGACCAAATTTTATGGAAGAAGGACCCAAAACTTCAGAAGTTTGTGAGACGATGCTCGTTAAAGCTCCAATAAGCATCCACCCAGTTCAAGCAGTATGAGGCATTTGAGAGACTGGCGCATAGGAATGATGGTCTTTTTCTTCATCTGATAGATACATAGGAACCAATAGGGATCAGCACAACTCAGCCAACCCCACACTAGAGTTAGAGTCATTGGCGAGTTGAAACAGCATAGGGGATCAAAAGTTCGACTACTCAACAACAGCAGTGGAGAGTAGCTGGGAGCTAGGAGGCGCATTGTAGCTGGAGGAGAAGATTGAAGACCTAACGAAGACGAGGAGTTATAGTGTCGGTAAAGGCTTTGACGAGGACGTCGAAGGAATGGGTGGGGGAGAATGTCACGGACAAACTTATAAACATGATGTTTGATGTAATGCTTATATATGTCCGTGTCTTTTGGTTTATTCATGCTTTGCATAGCATGTAGAGGGACGGTCGAAGGCTTAATAACCCCATTTTAGTTGGGTTTAGTGGTCGTTGTAGGCTTGTAAATAAAGGTTATATCATGTGGACACTTGTAAGAGATACTCGATCTATAGTGGACCATTTTGACCCTTTGTTGTGCAACTATTCAGAGCTTGTAAAGTCCGTTTATAATTTGCATTGGCTATGAAGTGTTTTTAGAGATGTTTGCTTATGGATCCTGAGTGAGGTGCTTTCTCTAACCCGTTTTCTCTTTTGTAGGTCCTAAGGGACCATAGGAGGTTTCAGGGAGGCTGACCTTTACGAACGGATACACAAGGATGCCACACGACTTAGACAAAATCAGCTAAGTCCGTGACAGAATGTCCGGACTTCCGACGAACTCTCGAACTCCCAACGAAATCTTGACTCTAGGACTTTATTTTGCTCTATGCCTTAAAGATGTGAAAGATTGTAAATTTTGCAAGTTTGCACTTTTGCTTCTTAAGATAGGCAAACTAGCAATTTTTGGTGATGTTCAAGATAGCAAGTCCTTTCTTCTCTTTTGAGAAGTGCAATTTTTGCCTCCTTTGCAATGTTCAAGCTAGCAAAATTTAAGATCATTTTACAACATGCAATCTAGCAACGATTTTGAGTTTTGTAAGTTTGCAAATTTTGCTAGATGTGCAAGTTAGTATGTTTGTTTTTCTTTATGATGTTCAAACTAGCATGTTTTTGGAAAAGAATGCAAGATAGTAAATAGCAAGTTTAGAACATGCAAGCTAGCATTTTTTCATATATGAAGGTTGGCAAAATTTTTGCATCTTTTAAGATGAGCAAACTAATAAGTTTTGCCTCTCTTTGCGATGTGTACATTTACAATTTTTTCTTCTCTTTAGATGTGCAAGCAAACAAATTTATGTCCCCCTTTGTCATTGCCAAAAAGAAGGGAAGAATATAATTTTATAATTCTTTTCTTTTTATATTAATTTTCACATCATAACAAAGATAAATTATCATTCTTAATTCAATATGCTTGTGCATCAATATAGTTTCGAATTAAAACATACATAATTTCCTCTTTTAAATAAATATTTCAAATCATGATGGTATCAAAATGTCAAATTACATTACATCCTATTATGTGAATACCAAAAGACATGATTCATATAGTAAATCTCCTCTTTTAAATAAAATACCAAGAAAAAAATCGTAGGAGTACAAAGAAGAGATCTTGATTAAGAAAACATCTCAAGTAATTCCAAGAAATCAAGATCATGATTTGAATAAAACTCATTCAAATTCAAATTACCCACCCCCGCCCTCTTTTTATTATAAACAAGAAAGAAGAATTTTTAATGTTGCAATTTATTTCTTTCTTTCACCAATGCTCTAAGCATCACATAAATACGAAGGTAATCATATGAAAATCTTGACATAAAAGATGAAAGATAAAAAAAAAAATCAATTCATAAATGATTCATCTTGACAAATCTCCTTTTTAGTAAATAATAAAAAGAAATCTTAGGAGATTAAATAGTCAATAATCTTCAAAGGTAATCTCATGTTATAAATTCCAAGAAATCAAGAGAGAAACCATGATTCATTTAGATATATCTCAATAAGAAGATACAAGAACACATAATAAGAGATCTTAATTCATAAACGATTTCAGGTTATAAATCTCGAGAAATCAACATCATGATTTCGATAAAACCCATTAAATTCAAATTCATAAACATCAAAATCACTTTCATAATCCAAGAGATTCATAAAATTGATACAAATAGATTCATCAATATCCCTTTTTGAAAACTCGATAAGGTAGGGATTGAGAAATTTTAAAGAAAAATGCTTCCCTCTTTTTGTTTCAACTTATGTGATTGATGCCCTTTTCTTTTATGCCAAATACATTCATCGTTGATTAAAACCGAAACACAAATTTTATCATCAAATTCATCATGACCAATCATATTAAACATAAGGCTTTTTCAAACAAGAGATTTGATTCATTAATGTTTTTGGTAAGTCTTTGATTCATCTTTTTAATTTCAATGATAATATATTTTTCTTTTTATGTGTTTCATATAAGTATGATCAAGTTTTTCGTATGAAAACCATCCATCATATTTAAAATAGAAAAGCAATACACAATCATCATGCATAATTAAATCATTAGATTATCAAATATGATTTCATTAAACATAAAACATTTAATTTTAACATTTTGTTCCTTTATCATAAAACATGCAATTGTAATGATATATATATATATATATATATATATATATATATATATATAAAACTAATCATGAAAAGCACTAAGTAATTTCATGGTAAGGAAAAGGATATTCGATTGAGTCGCTTACCTTGTTGACAAAAGTCGTCAAAGCATAGTTTGCCACCTTGCCTTTGTTGGTTTGCTTCTCGTCTTTGGATGCACTTGTTTCGTCCCATATCGCCTTTAGCACTCTCTCCTTCTTTATCAACTTCTTTTTAAGTTCATTATTATTTTTTAATTCTTATTTTAAGAATTTTTTAAGCTTCATTGTGAGGAGTTCAAGGTCATCATCATTGTCACTTGAGTCATCACTAAGTGCTATTCTATTATTCGAAGTGTCAAATCCTTCCTCTTCTTTGGAAGGTTATTCTCATATTGGTTTTGTGTCATACAACTCATTTCATATATCATTAAATACCTGATAAGTTTTTCAAGTTGAAAATAGTTCAAATCCTTAGCCTCTTGAGTGGCTATTACTTTAGGGTCCCAACTCTTTGGAAGAGATCTCAATATTTTGCTAACTAGTTTAAAGTTAGAAATTTTTTTATTAAGAGCTTTTAGACTATTGATGACATTCGTAAAATGGGTGTATATGTCTCCAATAGTCTCACTTGATTCCCTCCGAAATAATTCAAAATTATGCACCAAAATATTTATTTTAGAGTCTTTAACTCTAGTAGTGCCTTCGTGTGTGATTTCGAGTGTGTGTCAAATGTCAAAAGTTGTTTCACAAGTAGAAACCCAATTGAACTCATTTTTGTTCAAAGCACAAAATAGAGCATTCATAGCTCTAACATTCAAAGAAAAAGTTTTCTTCTCTAAATCATTTCATTCATTCATTGGAGTAGAAGACTTTTCCATTTTCAACAATATTTCATAAGTTTAAATCCATAGAAAGCAAGAAAACTCTCATTCGAGTTTTTCAACAGGTGTAGTTCATCACATTGAACATATGAGGATGAACGATTGAAAAACCCTCTTGAAATCCGAAAAGAGTCATTTCTCTTGGGTGTTAAACCAAATGAGAAATAATGTGGCTCTGATACTAATTGTTAGGAATGAGTCGGCACTAAGAGGGTGGGGGGGGGGGGTAAATTAGTGCAGCGATAAAAACGTCGATTTCGAAAGACGTCATACGATAAAAATCAGTTTCAACTCAAATCATTTGTTTCACCTTGAATAAATAGAGAAGAAAAGGTTGGGTAGTTTACAATGTAGTAAAGTTGAATTTAGTAAAGAGAATTTGCAGTAAGGAAAGAACACACCGGAATTTATAGTGGTTCGGTCATCGTGACCTACATCCACTCCACCGATTCCCCTTCCGTCGAGGCCACCGGCATCCACTAACGATCTTCCTTTAATGGACGAAAATCAACTACCCTTATAACTCAATTCTTCTTTTAACATGTTCAGGAGAGAACCTTTACACCTCCACTTACTCCTCTTAAAATAGAATTCTAAACACAGGCTAGAGGAGGAGAACTCTCAAGATTACAATAGAATTTTGCCTTATTTATGTACTCCATTGTTGTGTGTTAACCAGAGATGAGAGGGGTGTTCATAAGCCTCAAGTAGATTCAAACTTGGAGCCTAAAAAGATCTCGTCCCGGGTTTCCCGGGTCTTGGCGGTACCATCGCCTACAGCACTGACATTGGACGGTACCACCACCTGACAATCTCGAAGACTGAGTTTGGGTTGTACCACTGCCCAGACCGGTGGTACCACTGCCTGACAGTCTCAAAGACTGAGTTTGGTTTGGGTGGTACCACAGCCCAGACCGGTGGTACCACTGCTTGACATAGTCTCGGAGACTGTGCCACGACGATTCCACCTGTTGGGTCACTGTTTAAGCCTTTCATTTGACCCAACACAGCCTAACTTTGGGCCCAATTGGCCCTAATTGAGTTGGCCTAATTCCAACCCAATTATATGCTAACTACGAAACTTAAGGCATACACTAAGATAAATAAGTCTAGTTTCTTCTGGCGAGCTTCCGGTGATCTTCCGACGAACTTCCGATGATCTCTCGGCAATGTTCCAACGGACTCCCGATAAGCTACTAGACTTCACGACAATCTTCTTGGTGAGTTCCAATGAGCTTCTCAGGTAAGCTCTTGGACTTCTCAGTCAATTCCGATAGAATTTTCAACGAACGTTCGGACTTCTGACGAACTCTCAAACTCCCAACGAAATCATGACTCCGGGACTTTATTTTGCTTTATTCCTTGATCGCTATCATAGTTAATCCTGCATAATTAAAACCTATTTCGATCTAGACAATTATTACAAGGCTTACATCAAATGTTATCTGGTATGTCATTGGTTCATCAATGCTTCGTCCGATTCTTCGATGCATCATCCTCTCTTGCGGCCTATTGCCCAATCAACCAGTTAACCTCTACAACTCCAATAACCTTAGTGTAATTTTTGCTCTTCTTGGCCCGATGCCCGAATCTATGACCCAAAACCTTTTGCTGATACGTCGACCGATCCTCTGGCTCGACATCCAATCTTTTGACACGTTTCATTCCGGCCCAACATGATTCTTCCTACCTTAATTGTCTCTCCCTGATCGAAACTTCCTGCATCACTCAAAATGTAGATCAAATTATAAACACTATCAATTGGTTTCATCATCAAAATCTGAGATTCAGTAATCTCTACCTTTCCATCTACTCTGATCTTGTTCTTGAAGATCCACTTACAACCAATGGGTAAAATACCCTCGGGTGCATCAATTAGGTTCCAAACCTTGTTGGAGTACATGGAATCCATCTCAAAATTCATGGCTTCTTGCCACTTCCCGGAGTCTATACTCATAATAGCCTCCTCATAGGTCTGAGGATCAATATCCTCAATATCTTCTTCTCTAATATGTCTCACATATCTCTCAGGAGAATGAGATACTCTGTCGGACCTACGTAAAGTCGGAACTTATGTGTTAGGTACCTGAACAGACTCGGTCTGTGGAGTGATACTTAAGCTAGGTTCTCCAACCTTGCTCAACTCTATCATGCTCCCACTATCTCTATTAGGAATGTATTCATTCTCAAGAAACACCACTCT